TCCTTTGCATTTCTATTAAATAATTTAAATTATCTCCATCCAGCTTTACAGAGGGTAATTCCTCCCTATTCATAATTGCAACAATATGGAGAAAAGCTGTGGCTACTCTGGTTGATAACGATGTTTGTAGCTTTAATCTTAACCCATAAGCCATTGAGGAAATCATCATCAAATAATTCCATATTTAACACAGATTTGAAACTCAGATTTTAAGAAACAAAATAAAATAGGTATAAATATAATGCATATTTATTTAGGGGGTAAAGAGCAATAGTATAGGTTGGTTAAAAATAAACAGTATTTCACTCATGCAGGCTACTACCACCAAGACTAGCACTATACGGGCGGGTTAGTAAGGGTTAGTTTGAGTTAATCTGCATTTTCTTAATTAAATAAAAAACTCTTTAGGTGACCGGGCTATAAAGACTGGCGTGAACTTGGCAGCCAAAAGTTAGCAGCCTGACTCCCGAGTCTACCCGAACAACCAGTGGCGTCGTTTATGTCTTATTTTTAGATATTATACATTCCTTTTTTTATAAATACAATAAAATAATCCAGTTCTTAAAGGTGAACAAGAAAATATTGCAAATGGATCCAATACATGTTTTTGAAGGTAAACAAAGAATTAAAATATTTGAAATATTAATTTTTCACCAACTTACGGACGGGACTTTCCAAATATTTTTCTCAACCAGGTGAAGTCAAAAATGCTTTTTTACACACGATGAACTCATTATGGGGCACCTCACTTGAGTTGCAAATGGGTCCAGGGGTGGTTTTTGGGAGTGAAACAAGAACATTTAAAAACTGAAAATATCAAATTTTCCCAGAATTACGTGTCTAACGACATTTTCTTCACAACCAAATGTATTAGAAACTGTGCCTAGGCATCATAGGCACATTTTAATCCATCTTATTCGACTTGCAAATGGGTCCAAGGGTGGTTTTAGGGGGTAAAAGCAGAAAATTGAAAAACTAGAAATATCAATTCCTTGCAGAATTACTTGTCTTGCGACATTTTCTTCACAACCAAATGTATTAAAAACTGTGCCTAGGAACCATAGGCACATTTCAATGCATCTTACTCGACTTGCAAATGGGTCCAAGAGTGGTTTTTAGGAGTGAAACCAAAAAATTGAAAAACTAGAAATATCAATTTTTACAAGAATTACGTGTCTTGAGACATTTTCTTCACAACCAAATGTATTAGAAACTGTGCCTAGGAACCATAGGCGCATTTCAATGCTCTTAATCGACTTGCAAATGGGTCCAAGGGTGGTTTTAGGGGGTAAAACCAGAAAATTGAAAAACAAGAAATATCAATTTTTCCAAGAATTACGTTTCTTGCGACATTTTCTTCACAACCAAATATATTAGAAACTGTGCCTAAGAACCATAGGCACATTTCAATGCATATTACTCGACTTGCAAATGGGTCCAAGGGTGGTTTTAGGGGGTAAAACCAGAAAATTGAAAAACAAGAAATATCAATTATTCCAAGAATTACGTTTCTTGCGACATTTTCTTCACAACCAAATGTATTAGAAACTGTGCCTAAGAACCATAGGCACATTTCAATGCATATTACTCGACTTGCAAATGGGTCCAAGGGTGGTTTTAGGGGGTAAAACCAGAAAATTGAAAAACAAGAAATATCAATTTTTCCAAGAATTACGTTTCTTGCGACATTTTCTTCACAACCAAATGTATTAGAAACTGTGCCTAAGAACCATAGGCACATTTCAATGCATATTACTCGACTTGCAAATGGGTCCAAGGGTGGTTTTAGGGGGTAAAACCAGAAAATTGAAAAACAAGAAATATCAATTTTTCCAAGAATTACGTTTCTTGCGACATTTTCTTCACAACCAAATGTATTAGAAACTGTGCCTAAGAACCATAGGCACATTTCAATGCATATTACTCGACTTGCAAATGGGTCCAAGGGTGGTTTTAGGGGGTAAAACCAGAAAATTGAAAAACAAGAAATATCAATTTTTCCCACAATTACGTTTCTTGCGACATTTTCTTCACAACCAAATGTATTAGAAACTGTGCCTAGGCAACATGGGCACATTTTAATGCATCTTACTCGACTTGCAAATGGGTCCAAGGGTGGTTTTAGGGGGTAAAACCAGAAAATTGAAAAACTAGAAATATTAATTTTTTCCAGAATTACTTGTCTTGCGACATTTTCTTTACAACGAAATGTATTAGAAACTGTGCCTAGGCACCATGGACAAATTTTAATGCATCTTACTCGACTTGCAAATTGGTCCAAGAATGGTTTTAGGGGGTAAAACCGAAAAATTTAAAAACCAGAGTTATCAATTTTCTCCAGAATTTCGTGTCTTACGGCACTTTCTTCACATCCAAATGTATTGGAGACTGTGCCTAGGCACCATAGGCACATTTCATTGCATCTTACTCGACTTGCAAATGGGTCTAAGGGTGGTTTTAGGGGGTAAAATAAAAAAAATTAAAAAGTTTAAAATAACAGAATTGTGACATTTTCTTCACGACCAGTGGTTTTTACATTTGTGTAGAATTTCCTTTATTTATTCATGTATAAATCTGAGTTTTTTCACGAGATCAGCCGTTTAACATTTCACCTCTCCCTCTCCCAAATAAACAACCCAAAAAAAGAATGTGCGTGCATAATCATAAACTCAAAAAAATACTTTTCGTTTATATATACACGTGGATATAGTATACGCCTTATGTTTCTCTTATACAGAGGTCTTTAGATAAACTGACACATTTTACAGGTGAATATCTCGAAAACGAGAAAAGATAACGGGAGGCGGTTTGTTCTAGAAGAATGAGGATTTTTTAAAGTTTTTTTTGATGGTGTTGATGAATCCTGCAATTTGGTTTTACAGACATTCGATTTTTTGAAATAATTACATAGGTACTGTCTTATTCTCATTGAAACACCCGGTATATTTTGTCATCGACAGAAAGCGCGACTTTTCTACTTCACAAAAATGTATAATTTTTTTCAATTAGGTATCTTGAAATTGTATCGTAAAAATTGGTTGGTTGAAGAGCGTACCGTCGACTGGTTAAAAAAAAAAAGATAATAATTATTTTGTGTTTAATACGAAGGCGTAGAAGGGCCACATTGCAAATAATTTTTAAAATTTCGTAAAAAATCTCAAAATTTTGAAACTTTTCACAAAATTTTGCCAAATAATTCAAAATTTTGAGAATTTTTGCAAAATTTTGTAAAATGATGCAAAATTTTGAATTATTTTACAAAATTTTGCCAAATAATTCAAAATTTTGAGAATTTTTGCAAAATTTTGTAAAATGATGCAAAATTTTGAATTATTTTACAAAATTTTGTAAAAAAATCTCAGAATTTTGAATTATTTTGCGAAATTTTGGATTATTTTGCGAAATTTTGCAAAAAAAGTCAAAATTTTGTAAAAAAGTACGAAATTTTGCAAAATGATTCAAAATTTTGAGATATTTTGCAAAATTTTGTAAAATAATTCAAAATTTTGAGATTTTTTTGCAAAATTTTGAATTATTTTGCAAAATTTTGAATTTTTTTGCGAAATTTTGCAAAAAAACTCAAAATTTTGGATCATTTTGCAAAATTTTGAATTATTTTGCGAAATTTTGCAAAGGAAGTACAATAATTCGACCTCGTTTCTCTCAGTCGGAAAAAATATTTGCGCGTATCAATTACAAACCGACAAGCTATACGTGTGCGTTCGACTCGTGTTCTCGTGCTTACTTGGAAACGAACCAGACGAAGGAACTGAATTAAGCCATGGATGAGGTAAGTACTTTGTATCAAATTTGTTTCCTATTTCCTTTGTAATTTTGTTGGACAATACGTGCTTACCAAATACGATAATCGTTAACAAGAAAACCAGAAACCCATTCCGAGGGTTGGGAGGGGGAACCAAAATAAGGTACTTTTCAGCTCTCCCCGAACCTCACTTCTGGGGGTAGCCACCCTAACCTCAGAATCTTGAATGGCACTATGGGTCATGTGATACCTTGTTTGAAAGGTTTTTTATTTCTCTATAAACGAATCTGCAATGAAAAATTAATCAGATTCCAAAAGATTTCCAAATTCAAATGTCTCTCTAATTTAAGTTTGAGGTTAGGTCACTACCGCTGGAGGGGAGGTTCGGGGAGAGCTAAAAAGTACGTTATTTTGGTTTCCCTGCCAACCCCCAAAAAGGTTTTTTTTCTACAACCATGCGTAAAGTACTCACTTCACGCACTCTTCAGAAGACGTAAAATTATATTTTTCACGCACTAGTGCGTAATGTCACAAAACGCTATATTTGCTAATGCTGACACTGTCAGTCAGAGGGGCGCGTTCAATTACTCCCTTTTTTGCATTTAAAAAGTGATATCTACTTCACACCCTAGGGTGTAAAGTAAGTTACTTTACGCACTAGGGCGTAAAGTTGTGGTATATTTTATCGAATTTATGACTTATATTGACGGTAGTAGAAAAAAATTTGTATGGAACTTGTGTGTAATGGACCTTTTTTCACTCATGTGATGGTCGCACGTACTCGCCTGAAACTTCACATTCGTATAAGAAAGGGTTCACTTTACACACTTGTTGCATAAATTACTATATTTCTTAGAGATTTTTGTTTCCAAGATATAGGCCATTGAAAGTTTTCGGTGGGACATCATGGTATACCTATACAGGTTGGGCCAATGGAAACTTTCCACCCCGATTTTTTTGATTAAAAATAAAAATATGAAAAAACGCTCTGACACGTCGATTTTGGAATCTAGGGGGAACCATTTTCAGGGGAGAGCAACCCCTCGAATTTGAATCGGGGAGGGGTCGTGGCATACCTCTTTTTGAAGGTCTCATCGCATTCTTTATGACCCTAGAATTTAGGCTCATTATTTTCATCCCTGACGAAATGACAGCTCGTCAAAGTTTATTAGGGATTTGAAGATATGGATACTATTAAAAACTTTTTTTGCGTTTTTTTGAAATAAAAGCTACAAAAATGATTTCCCTCAAACAAGTGAAACTAGTAAGATGAAGACAAAGTCCCCATCTATGTACCGTTGTTATACTTATGTATATACTAGCTGCCCGGTAAGTGCTTCGCTTTGATAAAGTGAAATAAAAAAATTTAATTGGAACATTTAAATTTATTTATTCAAACAATAGTATATTGTTTTATTAGGAGTAAAAGTGATACTTTTGTGATGAGTCTGTAAGTTTGCCTGCCGAACGCAGTGAGGCCGGCAATACAGACGAATCATAAAATTAGTAGATAAATGTCAGGTTTTCTGACGTTTGAAGAAAAAAAAATATTTTGTATATATTTGCGGACGACGCTCACGGTAGTACGCTTTTCGGGCGAAGATTCTGCATAACGGAACCGAGGAGCTTCAGGGTGCACTGATACATCCTCAGCCTAACGGGCGAAGATTCTACATAACCGAACAGAGGAGCTTCAAGGTGCACTAATTGCTCAAAATATCACGTGTATTCTAGGCCTTAAGCGACCTTGTAAGAATTTTTTAAAAGTATTTGAACACGTCCAAAACGAAATGACCACATGAATGACATAACAACATGCTGGTATTGTCAACGCTGAAAAAAGTTTCAATTTGACAGCAAAATCCCCATAAACGAAATGATCCTCCATTTATTGAATTCATTTATCACAAAAAATGTGATAAATGAAAAAAAACCGCTCGACCAATTTTGTGCATACTTGTGCGGTTTTTTATTTATCAAATTTTTTGTAATAAATGAATTCAATAAATGGAGGATCATTTTGTTTATGGGGATTTTGCTGTCAAATTGAAACTTTTTTCAGCGTTGACAGTACCAGCATGTTGTTCTGTCATTCATGTGGTCATTTCATTTTGGACGCGTTTAAAAACTTTAAAAAAATTCTTACAAGGTCGCTCAAGGCCTATAATACACGTGATATTTTGAGAAATTAGTGCACCTTGAAGGTCTTCTGTTCCGTTATGTAGAATCTTCGCCCGTTAGGGCGCACAGCCGAGGGCGTTGCCCGTAGGGCGTAAGCCCGAGAATGTATTTTTTGTGCAGCCGGCCGCGAAATGAGCTTTCGCGACCGCAACACAGGTCGCGAAATTCAGTTTCGTGGCTGTTAGCTACACAGGCCGCGAAATTCAATTTCGGGGCCGTTACCCTTGGTGACGGCTGCGAAACTATAAATTTGACATTTCCGATGATTTGTCTGTCACACTTTTTGGACAATTTTGCTGTATTTTTGATAATTTTGCATAGTTGCACAAAAAATGTTGTGTATACCATGGCCACGAAACTTTTTAGCGCTCTCGAGATTATCTTGCCTCGGCCGCAAGCGGCCTCGGCGATAATTTATCTCGTGCGCTAAAAAGGCGTTTCGCGACCTTGGTATACAATAGTTATTTTTGTGCAGCCGGCCGCGAAATGAGCTTTCGCGACCGCTACACAGGTCGCGAAATTCAGTTTCGCGGCTGTTAGCCTCACAGGCCGCGAAATTCAATTTCGGTATACAAATAACTATTGTATACCAAGGCCGCGAAACGCCTTTTTAGCGCACGAGATAAATTATCGCCGAGGCCGCTTGCGGCCGAAGCAAGATAATCTCGAGGGCGCTAAAAAGGCGTTTCGCGGCCTTGGTATACACACTATTTTTTGTGCAACTATGCAAAATTATCAAAAATACAGCAAAATTGTCCAAAAATTGATGTGACAGACAAATCATCGGAAATGTCAAATTTATAGTTTCGCAGCCGTCAGCAAGGGTAACGACCGCGAAATTGAATTTCGCGGCCTGTGTGGCTAACGGCGGCCGCGAAATTGAATTTCGCGGACTGTGTGGCGGCCGCGAAAGCTTATTTCGCGGACGGTTGCACAAAAATAACTATTAGCGCACCCTGAAGCTCCTCGGTTACATTGGGTAAGTTCGGCTTAAAAACTCTTTTAGCGCTTTTGACGCTTTTCACTCAAAAACAACTCAAAATTTCTCAATCCATTGTTTATTTGATGAAAAACATGACGGACATGGTCAGATAGCATTATGTTAGGACAACTAGAGTCAGCATGCCTTGTACAGGGTGGTCCATTTAACTTGAGACAGTCTAATATCTCAAAAACGGTGCATTTTTGAAAAAAAAAGTTTAAATAAAAGTTACATGGTATCATGTGGGAAACAAAATGGCGGTACTGATTTTTGACTTTGACAACGTTTTCAAGGTTATTTCAAGGTCAACTCTTTTTTTTCAATGGAAATATATTTTTTTATTACAGAATCTTATTCTACAGAAAAAAACAAGTAACTTTTACTTGAAGCATTTTTCGATCCGGTTTCAATTTAAGCTGATCAAAAAGAACGAATATTTTTTTTTGTTTTCTCCTCACAAAATCGAACAGTAGAGAAAGGATACCAAAAATACCTCAAAAACTATAACAATTGATCAAATTGACGATCGCCAACTTCAACACACTTGTCAATTCACTTTAAAAATCAAACACACAGTTTATCAAGAGGTTCCCACAACACCGGATAATATGATGGAACACATAAGAAATGCTTAGAGCTGTCAGTAAAGAAATCAATTTCCTGTCAATTTGATCAATTATTGTTATATTTTTTGCGGTATTTTTGGTAACCTTTCTCTACTTTTCGATTTTGTGAGGAGGAAAAAAAAAAAATTATTCGTTCTTTTTTATCAGCTTAAATTGGAACCGGATCAAAAAATGCTTCAAGTAAAAGTTACTTGTTTTTTTCTGTAGAATAAGATTCTGTAATCAAAATATATATTTTCATTGAAAAAAAAAGAGTTGACCTTGAAATAACCTTGAAAACGTTGTCAAAGTCAAAAATCAGTACCGCCATTTTGTTTCCCACATTATACCATGTAACTTTTATTTGAATTTTTTTTTTCAAAAACGCACCGTTTTCGAGATATTAGACTGTCTCAAGTTAAATGGACCACCCTGTATAGGCATGCTGACTCTAGTTGTCCTAACATAATGCTATCTGACCATGTCCGTCATGTTTTTCATTAAATAAACAATGGATTGAGAAATTTTCAGCTGTCATGAAACTCTTTCATCGCGATTAATTTTTTACACATTCAAAGGTGCGTGGGCGTAGCTTGTCCCGCTACCTCACTTGCTGACTTGAGTATAGTTATATACATCACAAATACAAGCTTATATTACATTTTCAGCTTTCATGAAACTCTTGCACTTTTTTGGCGCTGGCTCTTGGACTATTGATTCTTATGATAATTTTGAACATCATATTGATTTTATTAATTTGATGTGTAAAAATTCCTGCATTTTGCTGGGTTCTGAATTGAAGCAGTAGTGCACAGCGGGAAAAGTTAGATTTTTTAGAGTTCCTAATGTTTAGCACATCACGAGGAATTAATTTAAAGGCAGTGGATAGAGGTCCGAAAATTCGGATCCCTAGTGCCAATACTAAAGATCCGATAATTTTCGGATTTCTAATCTACATACTAAAGATCCGATAATATTCGGATTTTTAATTTATTAGGGGTCCGAAAATGCGGATCTTTAGTGTTAAGGGAGATCTGAAAATAGACTACCTATAGTCTGACATGCAGAATTCTCATAAGAAATGCCTTAGAAAATCGTACTTTGCTGTTTATTTCTAATTTTGTTGTGAACACGGGATATTATAATAAATATTTTATTGAAACGTTTGATTTTTTAAGGACGAGTTCAAGGATTTATACTCTGTTCATACTTTTAAAAAAATCAATAAAACAGCATTTTACAGAAAAAAAAACTAATATTTTTGCTATTTGGTTGTATAAATTCTTAAAGACACATGCTTTTTAACAAAATATGGGCACATAATTACTCATGTGATTCATGTCTTCGGTGGAAACATAAAGTCTGCTATTCGGTAACAGGCCTTCTAATAAGAAAGCCTCATGGTTCTGCATGCAGTGCAGAAGAAATTGAAAAATGAAATCACACCCTATCTACCCTTTCGATAAACGAAGTAATAATATTTGGTTTTATTTATGTAAAGTGACAAATTAATAAATACGGTAGTCTATTTTCGGATCTTCATTAACACTAAAGATCCGCATTTTCGGACCCCTAATAAATTAAAAATCCGAATATTATCGGATCTTTAGTATGTAGATTAGAAATCCGAAAATTATCGGATCTTTAGTATTGGCACTAGAGATCCGAATTTTCGGACCTCTATCCACTGCCTAATTTAAAACACTGTCAAAGTTGACTTACTTCCACAGAAACATATGGGCTGAGTTCGGCTTTAGACTCGGTGAGCCCCGAGCGCGCTCGAAACGATAAGATCCTGTTCGTTCTTGGCAGTTTTTGCGCTCAGAGTGTTCCCTTTTGCGTTTGGGTTACAAGCGAGCATGTACCCTGAGTACGCTCCCTTTACCCTGGATGAATGGATGGAGAACCAAGAAATTAATTGCCAACTGTGCCCGATGTGACCAATTCAGGATTCAGGATTTTTTTCTTCTATTTGCGTTCGGCTTACGAGCTTGTTCAGGAGCGCACTCTGCGCCCATGACGTCATGGTATCCACGCTCCTACCGTTCCGATGCGTGGATTGCAAAGCCGAACTCAGCCATGGGCAACTAGTTTGGTCCCATAATTTAATTGTTTTGTTGCAAGGTTCATAAACCAATGACGTCATCAGGACGATTTAATGGAGATTTGCATTAAGTCGTCCTGATGACGTCATTGGTTTATCGTTACCAGACAACCTATCAACTTAAGGAACCTTGGTTTTGTTGGACTGCTCCATTGAGCTATCTATCGTTGGTTTGTCAACATTCCTATAGCGCTTTCCATTTGTACTTCCAGTGCAGCACTCGGTGCTCTCATAGATATGCACCAGTGCAATTTAAATGGAACGTAAAAACGAAATATTTTTTGTACTGAGGGAACATAATACAAGCTGGATTCGGCTTGCTCACTCCATGTACTCGAGTGACTCCGTTCGCTCTCCCGTTATCTGATTCTGGATACGTTAAAAGTCAATAC